TTGGCTTCGTGTGCATCGATGAGGCGCACTGTCTGTCCGAGTGGTCCAACAATTTCCGTCCCTCTTATCTGCAATTATATCGTGTTTTAAGAGATAAACTCAAAATACGGACATTTCTGGCGCTGACGGCGACGGCCACTAAGAAAACTGCGCTTACGATCGCAAGGATTCTGGGACTCGACCCCCAAAACGACATCATTGGCACCACTTTAGTGCCCGAGAATCTGGTTCTCACGGTTTCCAAAGATTCCAATAAAGAGTTGGCTTTAATTGATTTACTCAAAAGTAATCGATTTAATGGTTTGAAATCCATTATTATTTACTGCACTCGAAGGGAACAAACAGAGAGATTGGCGTCACTTATAAGGGTTAGCTTTCAAGAGATCCGACAAACAGATAAGAAAACGGGCAAAAGTGTGATCGTATGGGACGCACAGCCATATCACGCCGGGATGACCGCCGAAGAGCGCAATCGAGTTCAGAAACGGTTTATAAGAGGCGATCTACGGGTGATTGTGGCCACCATTGCCTTCGGAATGGGTATCAATAAGGCTGACATTCGGGCTATAATTCATTATAATTTGCCGAAGAGTTTTGAGAACTATATGCAAGAGATCGGTCGCGCGGGAAGGGATGGATTCGAAGCTCACTGTCATCTGTTCCTGGACTCCGATGGAAGCGATTTGTTTGAATTACAGCGACATATCTATGCGAACAGCACTGACAGGAAATGTCTCCGCAAACTAATCGAGAAGATATTCAAAGGGTGTAAGTGTCGGTCTATTATGGAGTTGGAAGCGGACGACGACTCGACCGCCAAATTAGCGGACAATGTCTGCACCGGACATGAGATCGCATTTCCCATTCAGTCGACTGTTTTGGAAATGGATTTGAAAGAAGAGACAATTTCCACATTAATTACATATTTAGAGCTCGACTTTTGCAAAGATAAGGTGAAACTCCTGTCGCCAATCAACTCGATGTGTACTATCCTGTGTTACGGCGACGGATCCGATCAGATGAAAGCGATCGCCAAAGAGTGTCCAATTGTGGGCATCGCTCTAACGCTGTACCAGAAGAGCCAATCGAGTCAAGAGATTCCCAGTAAATTGAAGTTTGATTTGGTAGAGGTGTGTTCAATGCTGGGCCGACCCATCAGTGCGTTGAGGTCTGAGTTACGGCAACTCGAGTGGGAGAACGCGCCCAACGGTCGCAAAAAGCGGACAAATGTTAGGATTATGTTCTCTGACCTATCGTTTTATCTGAGATCTGTCGGCGACTTAACCGA